TTGTATGTAAATTACATTTCAGTGATGCTGTTACAGAATGCATGTAGAATCTCTAAAATAAAACCAGATTTTGACCTGTCTTGCTGAAATTAAAAGGGAGAAAAAAAAATCCTCTCAGTTTTTTTCTTTTTTTCAAAACTGCAGGAGTTTTGACTGCCTTTAATTATGAAGCAGTGGGAGAGAAATTTCTGTTACTGCAGAAATAACAGTCTAGTTGAAAAGAACAGAGAGAAAAACTGGATTAAAACCCCACGTTTTAAACCTCGGATAAGCGGAACAGGACGAGCGCATTCTGAAACTGACCACACACGCGGGGAGTAGCGTCCAGTGGCCGCTCAGACGTCAGAGCCGTGCAGAACCTTGTCCTGGCGGGGGCTGCGCTGCCTCGCCTGCTGGGTTTATGGCGTGAAGACTCCTGTTTCTGGTCTCCCAGCCCACTGGAAAGCGTGTTGTTGCTGTTTGTTTCTGAAAAACTGATCGTGTTTGTTCCTGACCTTTGTCTCTGCTGGGCCCTCGCTGCTGCGCCGGCTCCTCTCCGGCGGCCCTGCCCGGGCTTCTCGTGGCTCCTCTTGCGGAGCGCGGGCCGGGGGCCGGGAGGGCCTCCGTGGCCGCGGCGCCCGGGCTCAGGGCGCGGGCCGGGGGCCTGGAGGGCCTCCGTGGCCGCGGCGCCCGGGCACAGGGCGCGGGCCGGGGGCCTGGAGGGCCTCCGTGGCCGCGGCGCCCGGGCTCAGGGCGCGGGCCGGGGCCCTGGACGGCCTCCGTGGCCGCGGCGCCCGGGCACAGGGCGCGGGCCGGGGCCCTGGACGGCCTCCGTGGCCGCGGCGCCCGGGCACAGGGCGCGGGCCGGGGCCCTGGACGGCCTCCGTGGCCGCGGCGCCCGGGCACAGGGCGCGGGCCGGGGCCCTGGACGGCCTCCGTGGCCGCGGCGCCCGGGCTCAGGGCGCGGGCCGGGGGCCTGGAGGGCCTCCGTGGCCGCGGCGCCCGGGCTCAGGGCGCGGGCCGGGGCCCTGGACGGCCTCCGTGGCCGCGGCGCCCGGGCACAGGGCGCGGGCCGGGGCCCTGGACGGCCTCTGTGGCCGCGGCGCCCGGGCTCAGGGCCCGGGCATGTGGCCGTGGGGTGCAGGCTTAGTCGCTCTGAGGCGTGTGGGGTCTCCCTGGACCAGGGATGGAGCCTGTGTCTCCTGCACTGGCACGTGGATTCTGTACCACTGAACCACTAGGGAAGCCCTGATTATCTCTTTTATTCACAGGCACACACTTCACCTACAAGAAAATGCACATGTCTTAAACGTGTAGTTTGATTTCACCTGGGAAGCCCCCTGATAATATATATGTATATATATGTTCCTGATAATATATATGTCTGTATATATATATTCATGTAAAAATAAGATGCAGAACATCCTCATCGCCCCAGAAAGTCTCCTCCTGTTCTTTCCCAGTCAGTCCCTCACCCCTCCCCCTTTCTAATTTCTATCATTATATGTGAATTTTGTCTTTTCTTGAGACTCATATAAATTGCACTCAGTATGTCTATATCTTGTGTCTGGCCTTTCTAACTCGGCTTAATGCTCTTGGTATTAATCCATGTTGTCTTTGTCAGTAGCTCATTGCTGTTTATCACCGAGCAGTGTTTCATGGCATGAGTGTAACAGTTCACTTACCTGTTCTCCTGCTGATGGAAACACTGTCCCCAGTCTTCAGCTCCCGTGAATAAGGCTGCAGTGAGCATTTGTTTTCATCTGTTGTGAGTAGAGTCCTGATAGTGGGGATATGGGCTAGATGAGATGGTTAGAGCGCATCAGTGACTCAGTGAACATGAATTTGCGCAGACTCCGGGAGACAGCGAAGGACGGGGAAGCCTGGTGTGTTGCGGTCCAGGGGTTGCAAAGAGTCAGACTGAAAAACACGGGGGGTATACGCGTGCAAATATTTAAGATCTTTTGACTCTTCTCCAACTTGGTTTTCCATTTTCTATTCCCACTAGCAAAGTGAGACCCCCAGTTCCTCCATATCCTCAGCAACACTCTAAGCTGTCACTCTTATCACAGGAAGCTCAGTCAGTTCAGTTCAGTTCAGGCACTCAGTCGTGCCCAACTCTTTGCGACCCCATGAACTGCAGCACACCGGGCCTCCCTGTCAATCACCAACTCCTGGAGTTTACTCAAACCCATGTCCATCGAGTTGGTAATGCGATCCAACCATCTCATCCTCTGTCATCCCCTTCTCCTGCCCCCAATCCCTCCCAGCATCAGGGTCTTTTCCAATGAGTCAGTTCTTCCCATCAGTTGGCCAGAGTATTGGAGCTTCAGCATCAGTCCTTCCGATGAACACCCAGGACTGATTTCCTTTAGGATGGACTGGTTGGATCTCCCTGCAGTCCAAGGGACTCTCAAGAGTCTCCTCCAACACCAGTTCAAAAGCATCAATTCTTCAGCTCAAATTTCTTTAGAGTCCATTTCTCACATCCATACATGACCACGGGAAAAACCATAATTTGACCAGACAGACCTTTGTCAGCAAAGTAATGTCTCTGCTTTTTAATATGCTGTCTAAGTTGGTCCGAGTTTTTCTTCCAAGGACTAAGTGTCTTTTAATTTCATGGGGGCAGTCACCATCTGCTGTGATTTGGGAACACAAAAAGTCTGTCACTGTCTCCATTGTTTCCCCATCTATTTTCCATGAAGTGGTGGACCAAATGCCATGATCTTAGTTTTCTGAGTGTTGAGTTTTAAGCCAACATTTTCACTCTCCTCTTTTACTGTCATCAACAGGTTTTTTAGTTCTTCACTTTCTGTCATAAGGGTGGTATCATCTGCATATCTGAGTATCGATATTTCTCCTGGCAATTCTAGCTTGTGCTTCCTCCAGCCCAGCATTTCTCATGATATACTCTGCATATAAGTTAAATAAGCAGGGTGACAATGTACAGCCTTGACGTACTCTTTTTCCTATTTGGAATCAGTCTGTTGTTCCTTGTCCAGTTCTAACTCTTGCTTCCTGACCTACATACAGGTTTCTCAGGAGGTAGGTCAGGTGGTCTGGTATTCCTATCTTTTTAAGAATTTTCCAGTTTGTTGTGATCCACACAGTCAAAGGCTTCCCTGGTGGCTCAGAGGTTAAAGCGTCTGCCCGCAATGTGGGAGACCTGGGTTTGATCCCTGGGTTGGGAAGATATCCTGGAGAAGGAAATGGCAACCCACTCCAGTATTCTTGGCTGGAGAATCCCGTGGACGGAGGAGCCTGGTAGGCTACAGTCCATGGGGTCGCAAAGAGTCGGACACAACTGAGCGACTTCACTTGCACTTTACTTTCTTTCACACCCTCAATGGCTTTGGCATGGTCAATAAAGCAGAAGTAGATGTTTTTCTGGAACTCTCTTGCTTTTTTGATGATCCTGCGGAAGTTGGCAATTTGATCTCTGTTTCCTCTGCCTTTTCTAAATCCAGTTTGAATATCTGGAAGTTCACAGTTCATGTACTGTTGAAGCTTGGCTTAGAGAATTTTGAGCATTACTTTGCTAGCATGTGAGATGAGTGCAGTTGTGCACTAGTTTGAACATTTTTTTGGCGTTGCTTTTCTTTCGGATTAGAGTGAAAACTGACATTTTCCAGTCCTGGGGACACTGCTGAGTTTTCCAAATTTGCTGGCATATTGAGTGCAGCACTTTCACAGCATCATCTTTGAGGATGTGAAATAGCTCAACTGGAATTCCATCACCTCCACTAGCTTTGTTCATAGTGATGCTTCCTAAGGCCTACTTGACTTTGCATTCCAGGATGTCTGGCTCTAGGTGAGTGAGCACACCATTGTGGTTATCTGTGTCATGAAGATCTTTTTTGTACAGTTCTTCTATGTATTCTTGCCACCTCTTCTTACTATCTTCTGCTTCTGTTAGGTCCATGCGATTTCTGTCTTTTATTGAGCCCATCTTTGCATGAAATGTTCTCTTGGTATCTCTAATTTTCTTGAAGAGATCTCTAGTCTTTCCCATTCTATTGTTTTCCTCTATTTCTTTGCGTTGATCACTAAGAAAGGCTTTCTTATCTCTCCTTGCTATCCTTTGGAACTCTGCATTCAGATGGGGATATCTTTCCTTTTCTCCTTTGCCTTTAGCTTCTCTTTGTTTCTCAGCTATTTGTAAGGCCTCCTCAGACAGCCATTTTGCTTTTTTGTGTTTCTTTTTCTTGGGGATGGTCTTGACCCCTGTCTCCTGTACAGTGTCACGAACCTCTGTTCATAGTTCTTCAGGCACTTTGTCTATCAGATCTAATCCCTTGAATCTATTTGTCACTTTCACTGTATAATCATAAGGGACTTGATTTAGGTCATACCTGAATGGTCTAGTGGTTTTCCCTACTTTCTTCAGTTTAAGTCTGAATTTGGCAATAAGGAGTTCATGATCTGAGCCACAGTCAGCTCCTGGTCTTGTTTTTGCTGACCGTATAGAGCTTCTCCATCTCTGGCTGCAAAGAATATAATCAATCTGATTTCATTGTTGACCATCTGGTGATGCCCATGTGTAGAGTCTTCTCCTGTGTTGTGAGTCTAGTGAGTGTGAAGTAGCATCTCATTGTGATTTTAATTTGCATTTCCATATTATCTAATGGGGGCAAGTTTCTTGTCATATGCTAATTGGATTTTTGGAGATAGAGTCTATTCAAGTGTTTTGAATTTTTGAAGTTATTTGAGACTTGAGCATGTTGCTGGGCAGTTTGCAGCATTCTTGGTTACTTCCCGGAGACTGAAATGGCCTTGGCACGTGGCTTTTGAAGCCTGATGTCACCTGTTCTGCATCTCCACGATTCGTGAACTCAGAGTATAAAACTGAAGTTGCATATGGACCACAATAAACCCCTGAGGTATAAAGGGTATTGTAGCATTGGGTGTAAAGTCTTTGTCAAGGCTTTTGCTCCTGTCTGTTGGCTGGAGTTTCCCAGCTACAGTGCCCAGTGTCTGCAGGATACCAGATGGTCTCACCTGCTGTTTCTTCTCCCCAGTGTCCAATAAGCACCCGTTTGTGGACAGCAACCTTCTCTACCAGTTCAGAATGAACTTCCGGCGGAGGCGAAGGCTGATGGAGCTGCTCAGTGAGAAATCCCCGTCCTCCCAGGAGACGCACGACAGCCCCTTCTGCTTGCGGAAGCAGGGCCATGACAACCGGAAGTCTGCCAGCTTCATGTCAGGTGTGTGCAGGCCGCCCTGAAGGAGCACATGTGTGTCTGCTGGGAAATAACAGTCACACCTCACCTCTGTGAATTCTGTCCTCAAGAAACATTTATAACCAAAAAATTATATATTTATTTATTTTGCCCCCAAAAGAAAACATAGGCACACACCACCAAATTGTTCCTGGGAAATCAACTTCCATGCTGTGAAGTCTGTTTTATAATTTTATGTATTTAAATTACAAAAGACCACTCAAGCTCTCACCCATACCTTATTTACTTTTCATTTACAAACAATTCTGGGTATCTGGTGTTTCAGGCAGATTCTTTACTGCCTGAGAAACAATCCGTACATATCATTAATTATCCAGTTTTCTAAGTCCAGCATTGAAAATCTATATAAGGATGAATAAGACTTTTGAGGGCATATACAACTAAAAGGCAACTAATTATCAGTCTGTCACACAGAGCAACTTAAAACTATGAAAGGCAGACATAGGAGCTCAGAAAGCACAGCATCCTGGGGCATTATGTGCAAGGTCAGACAGTCTCATGTTGACAGGTAACCTGGACGGAAATGATGACTGATGTTCACAATGATAACCCTATTTAAACAAGCTGAACTGAACAGAATAACCTCATTCACTCAGAGAAGGGTAATGAATTCTGTGTAAGAGGATGGAGTGCTTACTGGGCCATCTTCCACTCTGAAAACTCCACACTGACTCAGGAAACTGGTTACCCTAACACTTGGAGCCTAAGGCCTCAGGCTTTACCCGAAACCCAGAACAAAAGGAAAACGTGTATTGGTTATACACAGGAGGCGACAGTGAGAACACTTAGAACTAGAAGTCCTGGGAGCCTTCTGCATCTGGCAGGGAGCCGAGCTTGCCTGCATACATTTTCGCATTGAAGCCTCACTGTTACTCTGAGAGGAAAGACTTTCCTTATCCCCACTTTACGGGTGAAGAAATGCAGTCAGTGAGCGGTGGAGTGGGTTAGGCAAGCTCCCACAACTAGAAAGTGTCCCAGGAATTCTGTCCTAACCCGGCGCTCCTGTCCAGCCTTCCTCATCCCAGGCTCCTCAGACACGGCTGGGATGGGGCAGAGAAGGAAGCAGGGGCCACGCCAGGAGAGGAAGCGCTGGCTGAGGGTCAGCGCCTAAGCCTGTGCTTAGATGCCCTCCAGCTGTGTGCCCCTAAGGCGGCAGCCTCCTGCAAACGCAGAGGAACCGTCCACAGCCTCCCTGTTCTTCCCTGAGTCCCAGAGACCTGACCAGGTGACCGTGGTAAGGATACAGTAACCAGGGTGACCGTGACGGCCAGCCTGGCTTTGGGCGTCCCGGGGCCAGGCTCTCCGCGGCTCCTTTCCCCGCGTCCCGCACCGTGCTCTCCTCCCGCTGGTGAGAGCCAGCCAGCTCGGCGGAGGGAAGAGCGAGGTGGGATCACTGAGGCCGCTGCTGCAGTAATGCATGCCTTCAGAGCCCGAGGTCATGCCCTGTGTTTTAATCTCCTTCTGGGTGATTAATGGTATAATCTTCAATCTGGAGGCACTTATTGTCACGTTAGTTCATTAAGTGTCTTGCCAGCACTTAATTTACATCCTCTCAGGGATGCTTGGCAGGAGCTCCGTGGTTCTTAAAATAGTATTTCATGTAGCTGACTGCTTCTCCCTGTATTACCACGCCTGCACCAGTCCCCACGGGAGAGCATTATTCCCACTTTACAGTTGGGGAAACTGAGGCTTACAAAACTCAAGGGACTAGGCCCAGCTTGTGCTATTCATAAGTGGCTGAGCTGCCACTCAGACCCTTGCTTTTCCGATGTCAAGGCCAGAGGGCTTGCTTCTGGCACGCGGAGGCTGCCCCTCGACCCTGGCAGCTGCGGGCGCTCCTGTTCTCGAGAACCGAGCTCACTGCCATGCGTCACCGCGCCTGTCCTCGGGGACCCAGCCCACGGCTGTGACCTGAGCGTGTCCTCGGGGACCTGGCCCACTGCCATGGGTGACCGCCCATGTCCTCGAGAACCAAGCTCACCGCCACGCGTGACTGCGCGTGACCGTGCGTGTCCTCGGGAGTCCAGCCCATCACCGCGCATGGCCTAGAGAACTGAGCCCACTGCTGCGCGTGACTGCGCGTGTCCTCGGGGACCTGGCCTGTCACTGCACGTGACCTCGGGAATCCAGCCCATCACTGCGCATGTCTTAAAGAACTGAGCCCACTGCTGCGCGTCACCGCGCATGTCCCTAGAGACCCGGCCCACCACCGTGGGTGACCATGAGTGACCTCAGGAGCCCAGCCCACCGCCGCGTGTGACCAGGAGTGTCCTCGAGGCCCCAGCGCATCACCATGACTGACCGCGCGTGTCCCTGGAGACCCGGCCCATCCCTCGAGTGACCGCGCGTGTCCCAGGGACCCAGCCCACCCCTCGAGTGACTGCACATGTCCCAGGGCCCAGCCCACCCCTCGAGTGACCACGCGTGTCCCGGGGCCCAGCCCACGCCTCGAGTGACTACACGTGTCCCGGGGCCCGGCCCAGCCCTCGGGTGACCACGCGTGTCCCGGGGCCCGCCCCACTGCCGTGCGTGACCGCGCGTGTCCCCGGGACCCAGCCCACGCCTCGAGTGACTACACGTGTCCCGGGGCCCGGCCCAGCCCTCGGGTGACCACGCGTGTCCCGGGGCCCGGCCCATGGCCGTGACCGCGTGTCCTCGCCCGCAGTCAGCCCCAGCAAGGAGATCAAGATCGCGTCGGCCGCGCGGAGGAGCAGCATGAGCAGCGGCGGCAGCAGCGGCTACTTCAGCAGCAGCCCCACCCTCTCCAACAGCCCGCCGGTGCTCTGCAACCCCAAGTCTGGTGAGTGGCGGGCGCGGCCCGTCTGTCTGCCCGAGGCTCTGGGGACGCGGGCGCGCGGTTAAGCGGATTCCCTCATTTAGCGGAGGGGGACGAACGGGGGGGATCTCCGCGCGCGGTGCGGTTTGGGGGCGCCTCCTCTTGGATGGGGGCTTCCCGGCGGCGCTAGTGGTACAGAACCCCCAGCCAGTGTAGGAGAGGTAAGGGATATGAGCTCGCTCCCTGGGTGGGGAAGACCCCGCCCCACTGAGGTTGCCTGGAGCATCCTCGGGCGGAGGGACCCGGCGGCTGCCGTCCAGGGGTCTCAGACTTGGACACGAAGGGCAGGCAGGCAGGCAGGCGCGCCTGGGGGAAGGAAGGGAGGACACCGGTTTGCCGACGGAGACCTGGGCTGCAGTGCGCACCCCGTGAAGGCGGCGGCTGACCCCAGGTGGCGCTCTGGAGTCGGGGCGGGGGGGAACTTGGAGCGGGGTCCCCTCTTGGGCGAGGTGGCCAGGCCGTTAGGACCTCACGCTGACCGGCCGTTGGATGCTGGCCGCCCCTCGGAGCGGGGCATGGCCTGGGGAAGTCGGCTCTCTGCAGACAGGGTTCCCAGGACAGCTGCGAATCCCGGCCGTCTGAGGGGCTCTGCGCCAGCAGCCCCACCTCCGGGAGAGGCCGCGGGCTTCCACTGCCTGGATCTCACTGATGCTTGGATCTGCCAGGTCTCTGCACCCGCAAGGGAGAAGCGCAGAGCTCTGCAACCCAGCCACCCCTGCAGACGACTCTCCGTGCCTTGCGGTTTCAAACTCTACTCTTCAACCTCCATAGACTTTATGTTCCAGGGGAAAAAAAAAAAACCCAGCCACCTAGGCACACAGATTGGTAATGAACTTGCAGTCGGACGGAATCACTTCCTCAGCCCACAGGCGCCTGGACCCAGGGATACCACTGCCTTCTCTCCGCTCCTGACCCCCTCCCTCCCAGGAGTGGACTGTGGTCCGCTGGGGTCAGCGGGGCCTTGAGGACACCTGCCACCCCGCTTGTGTAGTGCCCGGCCCCCCGCATTCAGAGTCACCTTCAGGGAGCAGGCTCTTCTCTGCGCTGAGTCCTCACCAGCAGGTGAAGATGCGATGCTGAGAGGCCACTGCCCCCCTTCAGTGAGCAGAGCCTCTCTGAGAAAAAAGTGAAAAGCTTCCATTAGAATAAGGACAAATAGATGTTGTTCAAAGGCTTTAAGAAAAAACAGTCATCTAATGCTGTACTCTAGGCAAGTGAGTATTTTCCTTAATCTAACTTTTTTTTTTTCTGCCTTCTGTAGTGGAGGTCTAGCTCTCAGGATAAAGTTTTAACCTGCAAGTAAATGGAGGAACTTGCTTCCACACCTGCTGGGAAATCTTTGCGCACCCGTATATGACCAAGTTTTTCAGTTACTAGAGCACTGCTGATAAGGCAGAATGAGAAGAACCTTAAAGTTAGAAACATCATGTTTGAAGTCCTAGTGGAAACCGAGCACCTCCAAGTTAAAAGAGTTCAACCTGGGGAAAGTGTCAGTTGTGCTAAAGCCGTTGTGTGTGTTTCTGATTGCTTGGAGGAGTAGAGGGTTGTGTTGCTTCCTCTTTCTCCTTACCCGCTTGGCCCAAAGGGGGAATTTCACTGACGTGCAGGCAGAAATGGAAGGTTGGGTCTCTAAGGACCAGAACCGTCAGGACTTCACTGTGGTTGGTAAATCCTACCTCTGCGTTCTGACAAGCTCCTCTTTCATCTCTTTAGTGGACTCCCAAGATGGAAGGAGCTCACCTGCGATTTTTTTTTCCCCTCAAGTAGGTAAGCAGGCTTCATGGTAAGGCATTTAAAGTTAATCATTAGTTATCCATCAGCATGTATTTTTAATACTACATGTAAATGCCCTAATCCAGATTAAGTGCTATAAAAAGTAATATAATCAGTATCATTGTGATGAGTAAATAAGTTCTCAAGGGTATGAGAAGAGAAAGCTAGAAATGACTCCCTAGGTTTCAAAGTTTCTGCACATTTTAACATAGGAGAGAGCGACAGTGCATTAAATGGTCAGCATTGTTGCCAAGTATTACAATATAGTGTGACTCAAAGTCACGATGAGACGCCATCTGACCCCTCTCAGAATGGCTGACATTAAAAAGAACTCACATGACAAATGCTGGTGAGTGTGTAGGGGAAAGGGGGCCGTCATGCATGACTGGTGGGAATGTAGACAGGTACAGCCACTGTGGGAAGCAGTGTGGTGATCCCTGAAAGAAGCAGAAGCACCTTGTGACCCCGCAGTCTCACTTCTGAGTGTTATCTGTAGGAGAGGAGAATGCTCATTTGAGATTTCATTTGCACCCCCATGTTTATAATAGCCAAGACATGGAAGCAACCTCAATGCCCATCAGGGGATGCATGGATAAAGGAAATGTGATAGATCACACAGACACACGTATACACAGTGGAATGTTACTCCGCGATGAAAGTGAAGGAAACTCTGCTCTTTGCAACAAAATGGGTGAACCTTGCAGTCAATATGCTAAGTGAAATGTCAGACAAACAGTGACAGACACCACCTGATCTCACGTGTATGTGGAACGTAACAGAAACCTCATACGTTCAGAGAGCAAGCTGGTGATGGCCAGAGGGGCCTGGTCGAGGGGCCGGAAGGTCGAGTGGGCAAAATGGGCGAAGCAGGTCAAAGGGCACATGTTTCCAGTTTCTAAACATGTCCTGGGGAATGCAGTGTACTGCGTGGTGACTGCAGTTAGTAACACTGCACTGTATGTTTGAATGTTGCTAGGAGGGCAGCCCATTTCTTTAGTATTTTTATCTATTTGGGTGCACTGGGTCGCAGTCAGCATGAGGGACCCTTAGCGACAGCAGGTGGGATCTGGCTGCTGACCAGGGGTTGAACCTGGGCCCCCTGCTTTGGGAGCTGAGGTCCTAGCCACTGAACCACCAGGGAAGTCCCCAGGGTAGATCTGAAAAGCTCTCATTTCAAGAAGAAAAAGCTTGCAGCTACATGAGGAGATGACCTTAACTGAATTAGGTGATCATTTCGTAATACATACATCATTCTGTTGTAACCTGAAATGAATCTAGTGTGTCGATTATATCTCAATAAAAGTAGACGGTGTAATGATAAATGGTGGCTGTTGTCAGATATCACAGTGCAGTGTGATTCCAACATCCACCCCCATAAGCCCCAGAAGGGATCCGAGGACTGAGAGTGTGGCGGGGTTGACTGACGGGAGTAAAAAGGCTGCAGTCCTCTTCCCCCACCTCCTGACCCTCTGCTGAGAGCTGCTGTTCTTGATCTCACCCTTCTCGCTCTGTAGGGGAGACCGTAAACCCATGTCCTCCTTTATGAGCTTTCTGAAAGCAGAAGCTCGCACCCCTGTGATCGGTGAGGTCAGCAGGAAGCTCCCCATCGCCCTCGCCTGAGAAAGTGCGGGGCTGGGCGGGGCCCTGCCCGACGGCCTGGGTCTCGCCGCCTCTCGTCCTCCGCTGGCCCTTGGCCCGGGATTGGCCTCCGGCCCCGAAGGCCCCCGCAGAGGGGATGGAGGCTGTGCTTCGTGTTGAGCTCCCGGCCCTGCCACTCCAGTTTCTCTGCGCTCAAGCTCATGGTGTCTCTAACTGAGATCAGACGGCCCCCAGGCCACAGGCTGCCCTGGGCCTGCCGCGGCAGTCTCTGTTCCAATTCTGCGTGAGCACCGCGTGGACGGGGTTCATCTTTGCTGGGTTTTTAGGCTGCAAGTCAGGAAGGGACCGCGGTCTTTGCTGTCTGCTCTAGCCCAGCAGTGATCTGATGGTTCAGGTGTCTTGGGGGGGCCACACGCAGCCATACTAGGGCTTCTGCGCCCTGTCTTCTGAGGGTAGGCAGTGGCATCAACGCTTGAGTTTAAATCTTGGTTCCATTTGACTCTGAGGCCTTGGACACAAGCTCCTTAACTTTTCTCAGCTTCTGTTTCCTCCCTAGTAGAATAGGGACAAGGATGGAATGATCCATTAGTTCTTGTGATGGTGAAACAGAGTATAAAGTGCTGAGCAGAGTAGCCAGCATGTGTTAAGGATGCAGAAAAACTCACGGGTGTTAGGGTTCAGGGCCAAAGGCAGTGTACGTGCACAATCTGTGACGTTAACGAGGAATTCCATGGAGCTCTCTGGTGAACAGGATGTGTACAATATGATTGTGGGGGGTTGTTGTATGGCATTAGCTCTGGAAATATGGTTCGCAGTCTGCCAAAGCCAGAATTCCTCTTAATTTTGACAATTTGAATGCCTTGCTGTTGTCGTTTAGTCACTAAGTCGTGTCCAACTCGTTTGTGACCCCATGGACTATAACCCACCAGGCTCTTCTGACCTTGGGATTCTCCAGGCAAGAATACTGGAGTGGGGTTGCCATTTCCTTCTCCAGGGGATCTTCCTGACCCAGGGATTGAACCCGAGCCTCCTGCATTGCAGGAGGATTCTGCTCCCCTGGGAAGTGTTGAATGCCTCAGTTCAGTTCAGTTCAGTTCAGTTGCTCAGTCGTGTCCAACTCTGCGGCCCCATGAATCGCAGCACGCCAGGCCTCCCTGTCCATCACCAACTCCCGGAGTTTACTCAAACTCATATTCATTGAGTCGGTGATGCCATCCAACCGTCTCATCCTCTGTTGTCCCTTTCTCCTCTGTTTCCCTTCTCCAGCCGATCTTCCCAACCCAGGGATTGAACCCAGGTTTCCCACATTGCAGGCAGATTCCTTACCAGCTGAGCCACAGGGAAGCCCGCTGAATGCCTATCCGGGCTTGAAAGAAAGAAATTCAAGAAGTCCCTTGGCACTCTTGCTTCCCCTCCCGCTGTCCCATCTCTGCTTTCTGTAAGTTAAGTTTAGGGTTGTTTGCACTCATCTCACATGCTAGTAAAGTAATGCTCAAAATTCTCCAAGCCAGGCTTCAGCAATACGTGAACTGAGAACTTCCAGATGTTCAAGCTGGTTTTAGAAAAGGCAGAGGAACCAGAGATCAAATTGCCAATATCCGCTGGATCATCAAAAATGCAAGAGAGTTTCAGAAAAACATCTATTTCTGCTTTATTGACTATGCCAAAGCCTTCGACTGTGTGGATCACAATAAACTGTGGAAAATTCTGAAAGAGATGGGCATACCAGACCACCTGACCTGCCTCTTGAGAAACCTATATACAGGTCAAGAAGCAACAGTTAGAACTGGACATGGAACAACAGACTGCTTCCAAATAGGAAAAGGAGTACGTCAAGGCTGTATATTGTCACCCTGCTTATTTAACTTATATGCAGAGTACATCATGAGAAATGCTGGGCTGGAAGAAGCACAAGCTGGAATTGAGATTGCTGGGAGAAATATCAATAACCTCAGATATGCAGATGACACCACCCTTATGGCAAAGAGTGAAGAGGAACTAAAAAGCCTCTTGATGAAAGTGAAAGAGGAGAATGAAGCAGTTGGCTTAAAGCTTAACATTCAGAAAACTAAGATCATGGCATCTGGTCCCATCACCTCATGGGAAATAGATGGGGAAACAGTGGAAACAGTGTCAGACTTTATTTTTTGGGGATCCAAAATCACTGCAGATGGTGACTGCAGCCATGAAATTAAAAGACGCTTACTCCTTGGAAGGAAAGTTATGACCAACCTAGATAGCATATTAAAAAGCAGAGACATTACTTTGCCAACAAAGGTCTGTCTGGTCAAGGCTATGGTTTTTCCAGTGGTCATGTATGGATGTGAGAGTTGGCCTGTGAAGAAAGCTGAGCACCAAAAAATTGATGCTTTTGAACTGTGGTGTTGGAGAAGACTCTTGAGAGTCCCTTGGACTGCAAGGAGATCCAACCAATCCATCCAAAAGGAGATCAGTCCTGGGTGTTCATTGGAAGGGCTGATGCTGAAGCTGAAACTCCAGTATTTTGGCCACCTCATGCGAAGAGTTGACTCATTGGAAAAGACCGTGATGCTTGGAGGGGTTGGGGGCAGGAGGAGAAGGGGACGACAAAGGATGAGATGGCTGGATGGCATCACTGACTCGATGGGCATGAGTTTGAGTAAACTCCGGGAGTTGGTGATGGACAGGGAGGCCTGGCGTGCTGCAGTTCATGGGGTCGCAAGGAGTCGGACACGACTGAGCGACTGAACTGAACTGATGTTTGCTAATATTTTCTGCCTCTGTTTGGCTGGAGTTGTTAACTGGGAGGCAGGGATCTTTGCCACTTTGGGTCACTGATGTCAGATTGAGGCATTCAGGAAGTTTGTGCTGAAAGACTGAACAGAGGGCTAAGAGGGTTTGTGCCTTGACCCTGCGTCTGTCTTACAGTGTTGAAGAGGCCCGTCACTTCTGAGGAACTCTTGACTCCCGGGGCTCCGTATGCGAGGAAGACGTTCACGGTAGGCTCATCCTTTGGTTCTTCTCCTGCACCGCTTGTCTGAGCACGTCAGCGTGGCGGCCTGTCCATGTCGAGTTTAGGGATGGACTTGGAAAGGTTCTCCCAATTCACCTTTGGTTTTGAGCATCATTATGACAGTGTGACTTTCTTGACCCTTTGGCAATAAAATGCATTAGGACTTGACACAATTTATTATTAATAATCCAGCATTTCAAATTCCTTTTGATGTTTCCCTAAAAAAAATTCATTATGAAACTATTCTTATATAATGACAGATTTAAAGGCAGGTGGTAGAACAAATAATGCCAACAATCCCTTTCTGCATTATAGGTAATTATAAAAATTATTTAAACCATGTGGTTGTTTAGTTACTAAGTCATGTCCAAGTTGGCAAAAGAGTCTTTGGCGACCCTGTGGACTGTAGCCCACCAGGCTCCTCTGTCCATGGGATTCTCCAGGCAAGAGTACTGGAGTGGGTAGCCTTTCCTTCTCCAGGGCATCTTCTGGATCCAGGGATCGAACCCGTATCTCCTGCACCGCAGGCAGATTCTTTACCACTGAGCCGAAGCCCTATTTAAGACATGAGGGAGTCTTTAGAGAAGGAAGGTTGTTCTGTGATGACCAGTGGAGCTTTTGACAATATTTTAGTGCCCTGAATTACAGAAGGACCTCATTTGGATGTCCTATGTACCTGTGAGCACCTCCTGGCCACCTGCCCTCTCCTGGAGGGTCTTCAGCCTTCCTCCTTCTTCTGAGGCCCCCTGGTTTTCTTCAAGCAGAACCCAAGTGCTCTGTTTCACGTGTTTGTTTTTTTTTAAGAATTTTGAAATGTGAACCATTTTTAAAGTCTTTATTGAATTTGTTCCAGTATTGCTCCTGTTGTATGTTTTGGTTGTTTGGCCGTGAATCATGTGGGGTCTTAGCTCCCCAGCCAGGGATCAAGCCCACAGCCCCGCATTGGAAGGTGGGGTATTAGCCTCTGGACCCCCAGGGACGCCCCCAAGCTTCCTGCTTGAGCTCACCCCCCCACTTCCATCCACCTGCCTCTGTCTCTTGTCTCCTCACATCTACATCATTGGCTTCTTTAAAACACTTCTCCTCATCCTTTCTTTAGTCTTCTAATGTTTGTTTTAATACCTCAAGGTGGGAGAAAAGCTTTCCACTCGCATCCGTGCTGCAAACATTTGTCAAGGACTAAGCACATTCTGAGCACCAAGGAATTCAAGCCGGTTGGGTCCGTTCATAGCCAGTCAATATGAAAACAGCGCTGGTAACACGTCCATATCAGAGGAAAAGGTAAACCGTACCTTTGGAAGTGAAATCACGTATGAAGAACTAAGAGTGCCAAACCCTAAAGCTAACAAAGTACCCAACAAAGAGCTTCTCAGCTCTCCCCTGGTGGTCCAGTGGCTAAGAACCCACCTTCCAGTGCCGGGGATGTGAGTTTGATCCCTGTTCTGGGATGATGCCACATGCCACGCGCAACTAAGCCCATGCACCACAGTTACTGAATCCCGAGCAGCCTGGGGCCCATGGTCCACAACGTAGGAAGCTGGCGAAATGAGAAGCCCACGCTTTGCAGCTGGAGAGCAGCCCCTGCACGCAGTGGCTGGCACAGCCCAAAGTACATAAGTCAAAAAAGAGTTTCTCAGGCAAGCAAAAACAGAGTTTATGAGTACTGAACCTGCCCTGAAAGTCTTCAAGAATGGTCACAAACATATCATTTACTTCTCTGCTTTTCCTCCGTCTCCGGCATTCAAGAGACAGTGGAGTGTATTTTTTAGGCATATTTCTCTTTGGTTTTAAATATCACTGCCAGCATTGCTAGTAATTGATTGTGAACGGCTGTCGTCTATATTTTGGCTGGGGTATGTGCTAGAGACGTGTCTGGGACCTGCCCAGCAAATGTAACTGCCAATTCTAATCACAGTTCTGTCGGGAAAAAGCACTCTCCAATTTCAAACAACTTTTGGACCAGAGTTGACTTGAGAATTAAGAACTTTGTGTCCTTTTTCACTGTCTTTTCTTGGTACACTCAATTGTGTTTCAAGAACGCCAAGACTCTTCATGTTTCTCCTCCTCAGTAATTGAAATGATTACTTTAGAGTTCAGTGAGGTAGCAAGATCATGAGGAAAGTATCCTCTGGATGCAGGAGAAGAGAAATTGGACCCGGAGGGAAATTTCAACCGTATTTTTCAGATCATCTAAAGTTTCCGTTAGAGTCTGATGGTAAACAGCCTAAGGAAGAAGCCGTCTGCCGATTGTCTATGGAGCAGTGTCTTCACAGAAGCAGCTTCTTTCCGCGGACAGGTGTTTCTCGGCCACAGCTTCTGCATAAACACGTGGGCCTGTGTTTGCGATGGAGGCAGGCAGCTCCGTCCCGACCGCGCGCAGACGAGCCGGAGGAGGCTGCCTCCAGCCAGCGTTCTCCTCTCTCCTGGAGGCTGGGCGCTGGGGCCGTCTGTGGGTTGCTGACTGTGGTTTTCCTCCCTAGATCGTCGGGGACGCGGTCGGCTGGGGCTTCGTGGTGCGCGGGAGCAAGCCGTGCCACATCCAGGCCGTGGACCCCAGCGGCCCGGCGGCGGCGGCGGGGATGAAGGTACGATGCGCCGAGCCTCCGCGCGCGCCCCGCCTGCCTCGCCCTGCGCGCTTGCCCCCTGCTGCCCTGCCCTCTGCCCTTGCTGCGTGCGGCCGGGTTGAAGCCAAGAGCTTGGAGGTGAGGTCGAAAGGAAGAGGGCGAGTCTTCCTGTCCCCGGGCTCCACCTCCTTGCTTTCTAAATCTCCCGCGGTTTTTTGTTTGTTTTTTACATTTCTCTCCTTAACCAATACTTGGTTTGAAAAAAGAAAGTTTCCTTTTGCATAAGTCTTTTTACGTTGTTGTTATAGAAACATTTTAATTTTATTTTTATTTTTAAATTTATTTTAATTGGAGGCTAATTACTTTATGATATTGTGGTGGTTTTTGCCATACACTGACATGAATCAGCCACGGGTGTATGTATGTCCCCATCCTGAACCCCCCTCCCACCTCCCTCCCCACCCCATCCCTCTGGGTCTTCCCAGTGCACCAGCCCCGAGCGCCCTGTCTCATGCATCAAGCCTGGACTGGCGATCTGTTTCACATATGATAATATACACATTTCAATGCCATTCTCTCACATCATCCCACCCTTGCCTTCTCCCACAGAGTACAAAAGACTGTTCTATACATCTGTGTCTCTTTTGCTATCTCACATATACAGTCATTGTTACCATCTTTCTAAATTCCATATATATGTGTTAATATACTGTATTGGTGTTTTTCTTTCTGACTTACTTCACTCTATATAAGAGGCTTCAGTTTCATCCACCTTATTCAAACGGATTCAAATGCATTCTTTTTAATGGCTGAGTAATATTCCATGGTGTATATGTACCACAACTTTCTTATCCATTCGTCTGCTGGTGGGCATCTAGGTTCCTTCCATGTCCTGGCTATTATAAACAGTGCTGCGATGAACATTGGGGTGCATGTGTCTCTTTCAGATCTGGTTTCCTTGGTGTGTATGCCCAGAAGTGGGATTGCTGGGTCAAATGGCAGTTCTATTTCCAGTTTTTTAAGAAATCTCCACACTGTTCTCCATAGCAGCTGTACTAGTTTGCATTCCCACCAACAGTGTAAGAGGGTTCCCTTTTCTCCACACCCTCTCCAGCATTTCTTGTTTGTAGACTTTTGGATGTCAGCCATTCTGACTGGCGTGTAATGGTGTCTCACTGTGGTTTTGATTTGCATTTCTCTGATAATGAGCGATATTGAGCATCTTTTCATGTGTTTGTTAGCCATCTGTATGTCTTCTTTGAAGAAATGTCTGTTCAGTTCTTTGGCCCATTTTTTGTTTTTGTTTTTTTCCATCTATTTTTATTAGTTAGAGGCTAATTACTTTACAATATTGTAGTGGTTTTTGCCATACATTGACATGAATCAGCCATGGATTTACATGTGTTCCCCATCCGATCCCCCCTCCCGCCTCCCTCCCCGTCCCATCCCTCTGGGTCTTCCCAGTGCACCAGCCCCAAGCACTTGTCTCATGCATCCAACGTGGGCTGGTGATCTGTTTCACCCTTGATAATATACATGTTTTGATGCTGTTCTCTTGAAACATCCCACCCTCGCCTTCTCCCACAGAGTCCAAAAGTCTGTTCTGTACATCTGTGTCTCTTTTTCTGTTTTGCATATAGGGTTATTATTACCATCTTTCTAAATTCCATATATATGTGTTAGTATACTGTATTGGTCTTTATCTTTCTGGCTTACTTCACTCTGTATAATGGGCTCCAGTCTCATCCACCTCATTAGAACTGATTCAAATGAATTCTGTTTAATGGCTGAGTAATATTCCATGGTGTATATGTACCACAACTTTCTTATCCATTCGTCTGCTGATGGGCATCTAAGTTGCTTCCATGTCCTGGCTATTATAAACAGTGCTGTGATGAACATTGGGGTGCATGTGTCTCTTTCAGATCTGGTTTCCTTGGTGTGTATGCCCAGAAGTGGGATCGCTAGGTCATATGGCAGTTCTATTTCCAGTTTTTAAGAAATCTCCACACTGTTTTCCATAGTGGCTGTACTAGTTTGCATTCCCACCAACAGTGTAAGAGGGTTCCCTTTTCTCCACACCCTCTCCAGCATTTATTGCTTGTAGACTTTTGGATAGCAGCCATCCTGACTGGCATGTAATGGTACCTCATTGTGGTTTTGATTGGCATTTCTCTGATAATGAGTGATGTTGAGCATCTTTTCATGTGTTTGTTAGCCATCTGTATGTCTTCTTTGGAGAAATGTCTGTTTAGTTCTTTGGCCCATTTTTTGATTATGTCATTAATTTTTCTGGAGTTGAGCTGCAGGAGTTGCTTGTATATTTTTGAGATTAATCCTTTGTCTGTTGCTTCATTTGCTATTATTTTCTCCCAATCTGAGGGCTGTCTTTTCACCTTACTTATAGTTTTCTTTGTTGTGCAAAAGCTTTTAAGTTTCATTAGGTCCAATTTGTTTATTTTTGCTTTTATTTCCAATATTCTGGGAGGTGGGTCATAGAGGATCCTGCTGTGATTCATGTCGGAGAGTGTTTTGCCTATGTTCTCCTCTAGGAGTTTTATAGTTTCTGGTCTTACATTTATATCTTTAATCCATTTTGAGTTTATTTTTGTGTATGGTGTTAGAAAGTGTTCTGGTTTCATTCTTTTGCAAGTGGTTGACCAGTTTTCCCAGCACCACTTGTTAAAGAGGTTATCTTTTTTTGTACATTCTTGCCTCCTTTGTCGAAGATAAGGTGTCCATAGGTTCGTGGATTTATCTCTGGGCTTTCTATTCTGTTCCATTGATCTATATTTCTGTCTTTGTGCCAGTACCATACTGTCTTGATGACTGTGGCTTTGAGGTAGAGTCTGAAGTCAGGCAGGTTGATTCCTCCAGTTCCATTCTTCTTTCTCAAGATTACTTTGGCTATTCGAGGTTTTTTGTATTTCCATACAAATTGTGAAAATATTTGTTCTACTTCTGTGAAAAATACCATTGGTAGCTTGATAGGGATTGCATTGAATCTATAGATTGCTTTGGGTAGTATAGTCATTTTGACAATATTGATTCTTCCAATCCATGAACTTGGTATATATTTCTTCATCTGTTTGTGTCCTCTTTGATTTCTTTCATCAGTGCAGAAACACAGCAATCAGAGCAGAAAAAGAAGTAAAAGGAATCCAGATAGGAAAAGAAGTGAAACTCTCGATGTTTGCAGATGACATGATCCTCTACATAGAAAACCCTAAAGACTCTACCAGAAAATTACTAGAGCTAATCAATGAATATAGTAAAGTTGCAGGATATAAAATTAACATACAGAAATCCCTTGCATTCCTATACACTAACAATGAGAAAACAGAGAAATTAAGGAAACAATACCATTCACCATTGCAACAAAAAGAATAAAAAACTTAGGAGTATATCTACCTAAAGAAACAGAAGACCTATACATGGCCCACTTTTTGATTGGGTAGTTTATTTTTCTGGAGTTGAGCTGCAGGAGCTGCTTGCATCTTTTTGTCGAGTCTTACCTGAGAACTCCACTGGCTCTCTTCTACACAGAGTACGTACTTGGGTGTTTATGCCGCCAGGAGAGCATGTTAAGACCATAACAAACAGCAAATAGTGAGAAAAAGAAAACAGGAGTCATGGAGTTTGCAAGAAAAGTCATGGCGTTTGGAAGAGGAGTTTAGTCCTTTTTTTTTTTACCAGCTCTGTGGATAAGTTTCATAACATCTCATTGCCTGTTTCCTCCTCTCTAAAATGATCATCTTATTTCATTCTGCTATTTTATGGATTAGGTATGTTGAAACACTTGAAAAAGTGCAAAGACCTACACACACATCAGACAATTGAGTGAACTGTGTAAGATTTTTGAAAATAATTTTTTCCTATTTTTTGTATTAAAGTAATGAATATAAAGTTAAGAAAATTTGGAAAATACACACAAGAAGGAAAAAAAGATTATAATTTCTTATCATCTTTACTAAGTGAGAGATATGTACATTTTTAAGCAGCACTTTGGAAGTATAATTGATATAAAGTATATAGCTGTTAACATCTTTGTTTATATTCTTCCAGATTTCTTGTATATATATGTACATATATATACATTGTTTTTATTTATAAAGAAATATGGTATAAGGAGATATTGAGATCATTGGTTTTCTGCTTCAAGACACCTTTATCTCTCAGTTTTGTCCTGCCTCACAGAGGATGTTATCTCTTGCTTATCTGGGATCATGGGCAGATGCAGAAGATGTGGAAGCCACAGGCTGTGGCTTTATGTCTCTAAGACTCATCCGTGCCCATCAGTCCCTCTTCTAGAGCAGGAGGCCAGTGGAGCTGCAGGCGTGGTTTGGGCCTGCACTGCCCTGGTTCCCAGCGCTCACCCCCTGGCCGTGACTCACCTTCTGGACAAGAGAATGGGCCGCCTAGACCACACAGATGAGCCAGAGCAGGGATTGCGGCTGGTCTGGATGACTGATGCCGGGTTTGGGACTGACTGCCCCCTGATTTGAGCACCTCCTTCATCCAGGGGTCTCTCTGGTGACTCAGAAGGTAAAGAATCTGCCTGCAGTGCAGGAGACCTGGGTTCAATCGCTGGGATGGGAAGCTCCCCTGGAGAAGGGCATGGCAACCCACTCCAGTGTTCTTGCCTGGGAAATCCCATGGACGGAGGAGCCTGGTGGGTTATAGTCCATGGGGTCCCAGAGAGTGGGACACAACTGAGCGACTGCGCGGAAGCAGTTTCCTTTCACAGGCTCGTGCTCTGGGCACTTTCCATGCGCCTTGTTGGCCGAGTCCGTCTGTATGCAGTGGGCATGGTGCCAAGGAACCCAGAGCAGGAAAGTTGGCAGAGAGCATCTGTCTCTATCCTGAGGCTGAATTTTTTCATTTTCTAATGGGACTCTTGGCTGTGGGAAGTTTCATATTTTGTTTCCACAGTAAAGTACCTCTGTATAAATTATTTTTGGCAGAGTGCTTCACTTCTGAGCACACACTCATTTGTGAGGAGCTTTGACTCAAAGCACATT